AAACAGGACAGGCTGGGTGTGGTGGCTGACTCGCCTGTAATCTCAACTCTTTGGGAGGCAGAGGTGGGCGGATCACCTGAGGTCCAGAGTTCAAGACCAGCCTGACCAACATGGTGAAACCCCATCTCTACTAAAAATACAAAAATTGGCCGGGCTCGGTGGCTCAAGCCTGTAATCCCAGCACTTTGGGAGGCCGAGACGGGCGGATCACGAGGTCAAGAGATCGAGACCATCCTGGATAATACGGTGAAACCCCGTCTCTACTAAAAAATACAAAAAAAACCTAGCCAGGCAAGGTGGCGGGCGCCTGTAGTCCCAGCTACTTGGGAGGCTGAGGCTGGAGAATGGCGTAAGCCCGGGAGGCGGAGCTTGCAGTGAGCTGAGATCCGGCCACTGCACTCCAGCCTGGGCTACAGAGCGAGACTCCGTCTCAAAAAAAAAAAAAAAAAAAAATACAAAAATTAGCAAAGCATGGTGGTACGTGCCTGTAATCCCAGCTCCTCAGGGGGCTGAGGCTGGAGAGTCACCTGAATCCGGGAGGTGGAGGTTGCAGTGAGCAAAGATGGCACCACTGCACTCCAGCCTGGGAAACAGAGTAAGAATCTCTGTCTCAAAAATAAGTAATTAAAAATAAAATAAAATAAAACAGGAAAGTTGGCTGGGTGCAGTGACTCATACTAAGCACTCTGGGAGGCTCAGGTTGTAGGATCACTTGAAGCCAGGAGGAATTCAAGATCAGCCTGGACAATACAGCAAGGCCCCATCTCTAACAAAAAAAATTAAAACAAAAAAACAGAGCCCTCTTTCCAATGCTCTCCATCTTTTTATTGAGCTATAGTTTTCTCTTTAGCACTTATAATTTGCCTCTATGTCATGTTACATATTTGTCATTGTCTGTATCATCCCAATACATTATAAGCTTTTTGAGGACAAGGATTTTATTTTATCCACTGCTATATCCCCAACATCCAGGACGGTTGGCCCAGCCCACTCTAAATTCCACCGATACTTGTTGAATGAATTAGTTGATTAAACATTATTTATTGCTTTAAAAAAAAAAAAAGAGGCCAGGTGCAGTGGCTCACGCCTATAATCCCAGCACTTTGGGAGGCTAAGGAAGGCAGATCACTTGAGGGCAGGAGTTCGAGACCAGCCTGGCCAACATGGTGAAACTAAGTCTCTACTAAAAATACAAAATTAGCTGGGCATGGTGGCACATGCCTGTAATCCCAGCTAATTGGAAGGCTGAGGCAGAAGAATCGCTTGAACCTGGGAGGTGGAGGTTGCAGTGAGCCAAGATCGCATCACTGCACTCCAGCCTGGGCAACAAGAATGAAACTCGGTCTCAAAAAGGAGGGAGGGAGAGAGGGAGGGAATTTACTGGGAAGAAAAATTTTAATTCAAATACTCTGGACCTGCTTAAATTAAAATATTAAGTTAATGTTGATCTGCTTCTTAGGAGGGATTCTTTCGTTAGATTGACTTTGAGCAGTCCTGACAGGGTGAACAGAACACTAGAATCCAAACGCAGAAAAGCGAGGGTCTAGTCATTGCCCTGCCACAACTAGCTATGCTATAGTGACTAAGCCATAACCTCATCTCCTGATCTCTGAGATCTCCTGATCTTAGAGAACTTCGTTCTAAAATGAGGGAATTATCTCTAAAGTCTCTTCTTGCTCTAAAATTCTAAGACTATTGCACTCTTCTGCAGTGAGTCCCGTCCCTCATAATCCAAAAGTGTTAACTAAAGGATTCTATATATATTAATAAACTCTGTGGAAAATGGCCATTATTCACCCAGATGTCCACTGGAAGGAGAGGCTTGGAAGACTATATTTCATGGATGTGGTGGTATTTCAAAAGATAGCTTTTAAAAAATTAATAAACCATGAATCTTCCTCAAATATGAAAAAGAAACAGTTACTAAAGAAAATAGAGATTCTTCCTTCTGTAGCCAGTTATGAAATTTAAAATAATTGCAAATACAAATACTATACATGCATGGAAGCAATAAAGTATTATGATGAGGAGCAAATATGCGGTGAACAGAACTAGGTTAATGTGCAAGCTCTTTATGTGCTCTTGAGCAAGTTGAATACCTACTCTGCACGTCCATCATCTGTACAATGAGTGCAATATTTCCAACTGTTAGGCTCTTTTGAGAATTTAATAAAATAATGCCTGACATGTAGGATACATTTAATCAACATTATTAAGTAATTAAATATGTACCAGGTGTGGTGGCTCATGCCTGTAATCCCAGCACTTTGGGAGGCCAAGGCAGGCGGATCACCTGAGGTCAGGAGTTCGAGACCTGCCTGGACAAAGTGACAAAACCTTGTCTCTACTAAAAAATACAAAAATTAGCCCAGCATGGTGGTGCATGCCTGTAATCCCAGCTACTTGGGAGGCTGAGGCAGGAAAATTGCTTCAAGCTGGGAGGCAGAGGTTGCAGTGAGTTGAGATTTAGATCGAGCCACTGCACTCTAGCCTGGGCAACAGAGAGAGACTCTGTCTCAAAAAAACACAAACAAACAAACAAAAAGATTATATATATATATGAATACACCCAAACACAAATCTAATAGCCACAAAAATATTCTTAGCTATTTCTCCTGAGACCATGGAGCCTGTATAACATGGAAAGAATGAAAAAAGTTATGCACTGCTACCAGTGTATCACCCATACACATACTAGTTTCTGAGAAATCAGACCATAAATTCAAAAAGCTATTAAAAAAAACAAAATCTAGCAGGCCAGAGAGGTTCTTTCCTTTTAAAACCATTCTTCTGTAGAAATAGCTGACAAATTCATGCAATACATTTACAAACATTTTAGGAAAACCAACTTAACAGCACAGATACTTTAATCCTACTCTTTCTAATCCTAAAAATAAATAAATTACATAAATGACATATATATAAATTTTGGTTCTGTGAACTTGGATTAGTCTTTAAGAAACAAAGAGCATAGGCACGGCACAGTGGCTCACGCCTGTAATCTCAGCACTTTGGGAAGCCAAGGCGGGCAGATCACTTGAGGTCAGGAGTTCGAGACCAGCCTGGCCAACATGGTGAAACCCTGTCTCTACTAAAAATACAAAAATTAGCCGGGCGTGGTGGCGCGCGCCTGTAATCCCATCTACTCGGGAGGCACAGGCAGGAGAATCGCTTGAATCCAGGAGGCGGAGGTTGCAGTGAGCTGAGATTCGGCCACTGCACTCCAGCCTGGGCGACAGAGCAAGACTCGGACTGGGGGTAAAAAAAAAAAAAAGAAAAGAAAGAAACAAAGAGCATCCACTTCCCACCTTTCACATACAACACAGCCAATTAAATCAAAAGATTCCACTATCATAGCATAATACCCCTTGAGTTTTCAGGCAGATAAGACACTCAGACACACCTTGCTTTTTATAGAACAGGCCCAAATGAGACACAATAAAACGATGATTCCATGTTAGGAATTCCCTACCAACCATATCCTCCTCTTTTTGGTGACTAGATTGTAAAATAAGTCAATTAAGAGTTCACAACGGAAGTGCTGAAGCAACCGCAAATCCAGACACAAAAATACAGAGGAACGTATTCGCATCTCAAGCACGTCCAAATGTCTCGGCCAATGCGATCCGATCACTGCCGTTTCCAGAAACACACAGTAATGGCTTTTAATTCATTTCTATAAATGTTCGTTGTGCGTAAAGCCAAACTGCACGCAAAACCGCAAAACACAAAAGATTCCTCGCATTCCGTTTATAGCCAGAAGATAGGCCATCCTCTCTGCGCCTATCCCAGAAAGCTCTCCATACGGCAGTAAGAATTTGATGACACCCCATGCTACCTACACATCAAAATGTCATCCCACGAAGTGGAGGGGGAGCAGTGTCAGCATCCGCTGGCCTCCATGAAACGCCACTGCCAGTATTCCCACCTTTAGGCAAATACGAACCCAAGTGAAGTCGATGGAAAGTTCCCACCAACCAAGCACATTTGGTTCCCTTCTGCCCCCAAGGCCAAGCAGCTCAACTGAGGAGATCTGCTGTTGCACCTGCCACGGCTCTGAACCCGGGATGCTCGGCGACCCCCGGACACACAAAAAGGCCCTGCGGCCTAACGCGCCAGTGACCCTTCGCCGAGAGCGCACGGAAGGCCGCTGGAGCATCCCTCTCGCTGTCCACACCGCCCGCTTCCCTGACAAAGGCCCCGTGTCAATCCATCCCAGACACAACACAGAGAAGTTGCTGGATTGCCCACCGCGGACCCGCAGCTGCCACTACCCTCTCCCGGAAAAAAGAAAAAAACCACAGAACTAGGGAAGAAAAGGGTGGGAGGGTGCAAAGCCTTAAAATCAAAATGTTCCCAAAGCTAAGCAACTTGGGTGTGCCCTGGAAGTGGGTCCAGGGGGCCTGTGGGGGAGGGGAGGGAGGCCCGGGTGGTGGCGGCGGCTCCTCCAAGGCATGAAGGCCCAGCCGGGTGCTAGTCTAATAAAATGCCGGGTGTCGGAATGCTCAAAAGAAAACCACAAATGAAATCCCCGGCGGGCGCCAGGCCCCGAGGAGGGAGGGAGGGAGAGCGGGGCGGGCGGTCTGTAGACCTGCGGCCGCGGCCCTCACCTGCCCGCCCCGCGCCCACACACACCTGCCCCGGCAGCCCCTGGGAGGCGAGGCCCGCGGCTGGGGCGAGAAAAGGGCCCGACCCGGGGGCGCCGGGAGAGTGGGCCAGTCCGATGGCGGGGGCGGGGGCCGCCTCGCTCACCTCCAGGTCGGTGTCGGCGGCCTCCGGGGCCCCGAGGATCTCGCTGGGCAACTCGGCCAGGTCGGTGACCCGGATCAGCCCGTCGTGCAGGAAGATGGTCTCCTCCTTCACCGAGAGCCACTGCGCCGAGTCAGCGGCCGCCGCCGCCGCCGCCGCCGCGGCCGCCGACGAGCCCATGGCCCCGGCTGAAGGCTTGGAGCTGAGGAGCAGACGCCCGGCCGGCGGAGACGGAGCAGCAGCAGCCGCGATCACCAGTCCATGGCAGCGGCCGCCGCGCCTGCCAGCGGCAACCCGCTTGCCGCCTCGCCCGTGCAGCTCCGCCCTAGGCGGTCCGAGTCGCCATCCCCCCCGACCCCGGCCCAGGAGACCCCGGCCCCGCAGCCGCCGCCGCCGCCGCCGCCGCCGCCCTCAGGAGCAGGATCCGCCTCTGCCGCTCGGCAGCCAACTGTCAGTGAGACGCCATGTTGGGGGCGGGGGCTCCCGGCATGCCCCGCGGAGCGGACAATACAGGCCCCGCCCGCCGCCCCGCCCACCGCTCCGCGGATCCGGCCACCCGGGTGGCCCGGACCTCCGCCTCGCCCTTTGCTGCCGCTTGCCCTCAGCCTGACCTCTGCCGGCCCCTTCTCCTCCTGGCCATTCAGGGTAGCGCTGGCTCTGCAGCGCGCCAGGGAAGAGGACGCCGCCTCCCCGGTCCTGTCCCTACTCAGGTGTGCACCCCTTGCTCGGACCCGCGCCCCCACGCTGGGCAGAGCATAGAGATCACTCCTTGTTTTCACGTTTAAATGAGATGCAAGCGAAAAGCTGGTGCAGAATAGGCGCTGCACACTTGTTCATAAGCACTTGGTAGAATAGCATAGTAGGTGATTAATATTTACTGAAAAGTCTAGTATCCAGTAAGCACTCAAAACAAAAAATAAAGCGTCTGTCAACAACGCTTGGTGCCCAATGCCCGACACTTAATATGTGCTCCGTGAGTGGCAGTTCTAATTTTTGCTATGTTCATTCCATCAGTGTTCCACACTAATTGGCATACACCTTAAAAATATGCTCACTAGGCCGGGTGCCGTGGCTCACACCTGTAATCCCAGCACTTTGGGAGGTCGAGGCAGGAGGATTGCTTGAGCCCAGGAGTTTGAGGCCAGCCTGGGCAACACAGGGAGACCCCATCTCTACAAAAAATAAAAATTAGTAGGCCGGGCGCAGGGGCTCACGCCTGTAATCCCAGCACTTTGGGAAGCCGAGGCGGGCGGATCACGAGGTCAGGCGATCAAGACCATCCTGGCTAACACGGTGAAACCCCGTCTCTACTAAAAATACAAAAAAATTAGCCGGGCCTGGTGGTGGGCACCTGTAGTCCCAGCTACTCGGGAGGCTGAGGGAGGAGAACGGCGTGAACCCGGGAGGTGGAGCTAGCAGTGAGCCCAGATCGCGCCACTGCACTCCAGCCTGGGTGACAAAGCAAGATTCCTTCTAAAAAAAAAAAAAAAAAAAAAAAAAAACACCAGATGTTTAAGGTGGGTTGCCGCCGGAGTGTGGGGCTGGTCTGGAACTACTGAGATGAGATTGTTCTCTATTGCTTGTATATTTTTATCACTTAAAAAATAATAAAACAGGCAGGGCGCAGTGGCTCACGCCTGTAATCCCAGCACTTTGGGAGGCCAAGGTGGGCAGATCACCTGAGGTCAGGAGTTCGAGGCCAGCCTGGCCAACATGATGAAACCCTGTCTCTACTAAAAAAAATACACAAATTAGCCAGGAATGGTTGCACATGCCTGTAGTCCCAGCTACTCAGGAGGCTGAGGCAGGAGAATTGCTGGAACCAAGGAGGTGGAGGTTGCAGTGAGCCGAGATCGTGCCACTGCATTCCAGCCTGGGCAACAGAGTAAGACTCCATCTCGAAAATAATAATAATAAAAATAACAGGAGAATATTAAGGTGCATACCCTTTGATCCAGCAATTCAACTTTGAGGAAGTTGTCTGCAGGAAATAATCAGACTCGTAGTCAAGGATGGATATACAGGGTTGTGTAGCTCAATATTGTTTACAAAAGGAAAAACTATTTTCAATCTAGATATCCAACAATGTGGGGCTGGTTAACTAAAATATGGTATATCCATAAGATGGAATATTATGGCAGGGCACAATGGCTCACACCTGTAATCCCAGCACTTTGGGAGGCCAAGGCTGGCAGATCTCTTGAGCCCAGAAGCTCGAGACCCCCTTGGGCAACATGACAAAACCCCATCACTACAAAAAATACAAAAATTAGCCAGGCATGTTGGTGCATACCCATAGTCCCAGCTACTCAGGAGGCTGAGGCAGGAAGATCGCTTGGGCCCAGAAGGCAGAAGTGATGTCCAACTTCTGTGAGCCACCGTGCCTGGCCCTTCATTCCCTTTTCCAAACCTACTGACAACTGTCTGTCACAATTTATAAAAAGGCTGGGTGTGGTGGCTCACGCCTGTAATCCCAGCACTTTGGGAGGCTGAGGCGGGCAGATCACCTGAAGTCAGGAGTTCAAGACCAGCCTGGCCAACACAGTAAAATCCTTTCTCTACTAAAAAATATATAAAAATTAGCCAGGCATGGTGGCGTGCACCTGTAGTCCCAGCTACTCAGGAGGCTGAGGCAGGAGAATCACTTGAACCCAGGAGGTGGAGGTTGCAGTGAGCCGAGATCGCACTACTGCACTCCAGCCTGGGTGACAGAGCAAGACTCTGTCTCAAAAAAAATATTAAAAAATAGAGACAGGGTCTCTCTCTGTCACCCAGGCTGGAGTGCAGTGACACAAGCATGGCTCATTGCAGCTTCAACCTCCTGGGCTCAAGCAATCCTCCCACCTCAGCCTTCTAAGTAGCTAGGACTATAGCTACACATCACCATGCCAAGCTAATTTTGTTTGTTTGTTTGTTTGTTTATTTAGAGACAGAGTTTCGCTCTTATTGCCCAGGCTGGAGTGCAATGGTGCGATCTCGGCTCACCACAACCTCTGCCTCCTGGGTTCAAGCAATTCTCCTGCCTCAGCCTCCCAAGTAGCTGGGATTACAGACATGCACCACCAAAGGCCCAGCCAATTTCGTATTTTTAATAGAGACGGAGTTTCACCATGTTGGTCAGGCTGGTCTCGAAGTCCTGACCTCAGGTGATCCACCGGCCTTGGCCTCCCAAAGTGCTGGGATTACAGGCGTGAGCCACCGCGCCCGGCCTATTTTATTTTATTTATTTATTTTGAGATGGAGTTTCACTCTGTCACCCAGGCTGGAGTGCAATGGATAGGTCTTGGCTCACTGCAACCTCTGCCTCCCGGGTTCAAGTAATTCTCCTGGTTTGGACTCCCGAGTAGCTGGGATTATAGGCATCCACCACCCCACCCCGCAAATTTTTGTATGTTTAGTAGAGATGGGGTTTCACCAAGTTGGCCAGGCTGGTATTTTTTCATTTTTAAAAGATTTTTGTAGAGATGGGCTCTCCCTATGTTGCCCAGGCTGATCTCCAACTTCTAGCTTCAAGTGATCTTCACATCTTGGCCTCCCTAAAGCTCTGGGATTACAGGCGTGAGCCACTATGACCAGCCCATCACAATTTTTAAATGCTTAGATTCAGGACTCAAACCATCTTAAATAGTTCAGATAAAATTTCTTCTATACTTAGTCTTATTTCTTCTACTCTTAATGATATTTTAAGATCAGGAGTCAAGGTGCCCAGGAACTCTTGTCCTTCACCCTAAGTGATGAAAACAGCATAGATCTAGGGCTTAAAGTCTTTAGACTGCATAATGAATAGTTATTTAATATTTTAGCAACAGTAATTAATTAGTCATAGGACTGCATGGCTGCCACTGCACCACAATGAGGCAGCTGATGAATTAATATTTATAGAACCCCCTCTGGAAAGAAGATCATTTAGTAGGGATTTCTAGAACGGATCAGCAAGACAAAGAAAATGCCTGGTCAAAAGAACTTTAGGTTGGAAGCTACGAGGCACAGATCCGTATCTAGTCTAGACAACACACACGTACACACACAAGACATTCATTTATAGGAAGGAAAGATTTATGGCTTATGACTTCTTTTCTTTGGAATCGCCCCTTCTACTCTTCTATTCAAGAATGGGGGATCAGGATGGGAAAAGGCACAAGAGAAAGCATTGGCTGGGCAACCCTAAGTTAGAAGCAGAGAAGAAATATGAGGAAAATAGCTATGACTAAGTTGGACCTCAGTTACCCCGGGGAGGCATCTCCCCAAGAGGGAGCAGCAGGCTTGTTGATGGAGATCATCTCCCTCCTGCCCCAGCTGCTGACGTGATACTCGCTAGCCCTGGCTCAAGCTGGGGCCCTTCTGGGATTTTGCAATATCTCTCTCTTCTGCTGGCTTTTCTATACCAGCTGACTGTCTAAAATGGCTTCGTAATCCTTCCTGGGTCCAAAAATATGTGAGTGTGGTGTGAAGATAAGTGGTCCTTGATAAACTTTATTAGAGTTTAAAGGTGGTTTTACATGAGGCAACCATGTTAATTTTTAAGTCCTTTCAAAACACCAAGGAAAAAATACACACACACACACACACACACACACACACACACACACAGAACCTATGGGGGAGATTGATTATTTCCATCTTACTAATTACAGTCTAAAAGAGGAAATACACACACCTACTCAAAATCTTTTTTCCAAGTGTTCTGGTAGGCCCTGTTCATTCATATTTTTATTTCAAAGAAGATTATTTCGGCTCATGGGTGGATCTATGCAGTAACAGGGAAAAGAAATCAGATGAAAGAGATATTTGAAAACAAGGAGGGGGAAATTCTCTTTGGAGCACCACTGAATTGCTAAAACTAAAGGACGGGCCTCCACATTGATGAAAAGCCAGAAGATGAAGCAGCATTAAATGCCTCTCTCATTTGAAAAGATCAGCAGCAGGGAGCTCTGAAAGATGCTATGTCCTCCATCGCCACCTTGTGTGCATCACAGGCCTTGCTGCACTGGGATTTCTAGTTCTGACTTGGAGATTTGCTAACATTCGTCTCCTGCAAAAAAATTAGATTAAGAAAAAGTTGTTCCTGGCCAGTCGTGGTAGTTCATGCCTGTAATCCCAGCACTTTGGGAAGCCGAGGTGGGTGGATCATCTGAAGTCAGGAGTTTGAGACCAGCCTGGCCAACATGGCAGAACCCCACCTCTACTAAAAATACAAAATTAGCCGGGTGTGGTGGTATACATCTGTAATCCCAGTTACCTAGTTCCCAGGAGGCTGAGGCATGAGAATCACTTGAACCCGGGAGATGGATGTTGCAGTAAGCCGAGATTACGCCACTGCAGTCCAGCCTGGGTGACCTAGCAAGTCAGTCTCAAAAATAAATAAATAAATAAAGGGATTAGCACAAAGGAAAAGTGGACAAAAGATATTATTGTAGTTTTCATTCAAGGAAAAGTGAACACTGTATATTTTTGTTCCTTCAGTATTCGTTAAATGCCTACTCTGTGCCAGGCAGAGTTAGGTTCGAGGATCGAGTTCCCAAGGAGACTGGCAGCTTCCCTCTCTCATGAAAGACAGGGAGGCTACTTGGAAGGAATCATTCCAAAGGGAATGAGAAGTCCAGGCACCTAGTCTGGGGCTGAGGTTCCCGGAGGATGTGAAGTTTAAAGCTGGTAACTGCTACTTGTGACTTAATGAATGTGAGGATGGTAGGGGAAACTTCAATAGTACTATTCACCAAAAAAAGCACTTACATGCAACGCAGTGTGGTGTTTGAATCATGGACTGCTTGGATTTGGTCCCAGATCTTTTGCATGTTACCATG